CCTACGTGGGCCTTATGACTTTATACTTGGTAGTGATTGTGCTTTGCGGTTCCTTGGCCTCGGTGCTGCTCGGCCTGTACAGGATCTGTAAGAAAGAAATAATGTCAATGTTGCAATGTTTCACAAAACACAACAACATCCAAATAAGACATCAAGTCAGAGCTTAAGGCCTCATTCACACGAGGTCGGCTGCGTGCACCGGCGTATAGGGCAGCTCCCGGGAAGGACAGGTGCTGCGTGTGATGATGGAGGATTCTCTCTGTGTCTGAGCCGGGACACCCGTACGGACCTGCACTTGAGGTGAGCGTAGGGCGGCGTACGGCCGCGTACTTCCATAGAGAAGGATGGGGGCTGCATACTAATCACAAGCAGCACCTGTCCTTCCCGGGAGCTGCCCGATACGGCCGTGCACGCAGCACGGAACTGTACGTGTCGGCCGTTTCTCATGTGAATGAGGCCTAAATAAGAACTTTTAAAAGGATCAACCTGTGAACCTTTTCCTGGAGAAATCCGCAGGCAGCCATTGCTAACCTGCTAACTGCCTGGCTCTTATGTTGGTCCTCTGTCTTCAGTCACAGGCCCAGAACAAGAAGGCAGGTCAATAAAGTCAGAAGACTAGGGGTACCACCTGTCTGGGATTCACCCGGACAGTCCGGGTTTTTAATGCCGTGTCTGGGTTTCATGGCAGCAGGAACCCGGACACAAGATGTCAGGCAGACAGGGGCAACCAAAATGAAAATACGGGCTACTGACACCCCCCCCGAGTCTCCACATATGAATGGATGGGGCTATTTACATATGAATAAGCCACGACTCATTCTCCCCCCAAAATCTTTGTGCGTTGCTAGAGTGTTCGGGTTTCGATGGAAGAAAAGGTGGCAACCCTACAGAAGACCCTAACTTGTCATCATTGTTTGGGGCCATCCGCTCATATCATCGAAGCCGGAGGATCATAATGAGTGCCAAGCAATGGCAGCTTGTATGTCTCCCTCGGGAAAGGTTCCCTTTAATGTCAGATTTCCCAACACGCCCGCGATCACCTGACCCCGCCTAATCGCAGCCGAATGGGCTCCAGGTATCGTTACAACAAGACACGAACAGAGTCCAAGGATAAGAATATGATATCAGGGCCTCTTATCTGATGGAAGTCTCATTTACACCGCCTACAGTATTATTACGCAACGCGTTAGTAACGGGGCGGCTTTATTTGGGGGTATAAATGGTAATTATGACTCTGCAGCTGCGGGAGATTTTTTTTAATGCCGTAATCGTAGATAATTGTTTTTTTACGCTCCGATTAGTCTGAACTTTCACACCGAAATGTCTGAGTGAGCGACGTTAACCCCTGAGCTGCCCCGGGGCTGCAGACACAGACTCCGAATCTACTCACCATCTCCAATGTGCTGGAAAAGGAAACCGGTCACGGCGAGGAATGAGCCAAACGGAGAATTTACCCCGAAAGTTCCGCATAATAATTGGGAGATTTGGGTGGGAAGCATTTGACTTTGGTGGTTATTAAAGGTGAACTCTAATGTGTGTACAACTCTCT